TCGCTGGGGAAGCCTGCAGGGCGACGACCCTGGCAGGCCAGGGCGACCGGCCTCGCGACGGCGCTTCTTTTCCTTTGCGTGCTCCCTCGCCCTTTCCCTCGCCTCGCCGTCGTAGGCAGCTCGAAAGCAGTGGGCCGTGTTTGGCCAGCCTTTACGCACCGGCGGAGCCTGGCCCGACACCCACAGAGCACCATGACCTTGCGGCGGGCCCTCAGCAAGTCTTCCTCGCGCGCTGCCACCAGGTCGCAGATCCTGGCTGTCCCCCGTGCGTTTACGTACTCCTCTGCCAGGGGCGCGGAGACCTGGCGGGAGTCACCGTGGAGCAGGAGGACCCGATAGTTGCCCCCTTCTTGCGCGCCGCGAACCGGATTGCGGAAGCCCCCCAATCTTGGATGGGGTGGCTTTTAGGAGGTCTCTGTCACGGTCTTGGGAGCTGTGCAGCTCATGCGCGGGCATGGGCTGAGCCTTTCTCCTGGAAAACCCTTGGACCAGGGTTCGGCATCCGATGGGATCCGTCCTGCCAGAAATCAGCCTCCCTTTGTACAAGCGGTGGGAGGTCCATTGCCGGATGCTGGGGTGCATGCGGCAGCACCTTGCCAGGGGCAACTTGCGCTTGGGTCGCCAGGACCAACCTTGCTCCGTGTATCAGCTCGCGCTTGTGCATGTTCAAGGTCTTGACCCCGCGGCACGGTTCAAACGGGTGATGGCCTCTGGCCGCCTCAATTTTCCTGGCTGGGGTAAGCTCGGCCAGCTTCGGACAGGTGACCCGGTCCTCTCTGGCCAAGAGAACCCCGAGTCGGGGAAATTGGTGGCTGGGTCCAGGCGCCCGGCCTGCTCGGTTTTCGGACCTGTACTTCGCGGGCATATCCGCCGCTTTATTTGACCCCGCAAACAGGCCGATTGCCCACCCTGGAGGGGCACAGGGCACCCACATGTCCAAAACGGCGGCGATCGTCCTGGCTTTGCCCGTGCCAGGTGGCCCGTACACCAGAAGAATCACGGTGCGGAGTGATTGCATAAGCTCTTGGGTCTGAGCGTCATTGAGCTGGTGCCTCCAGGCAACTTCCTCCACGCTGCCCCGTGTGGGGGAAGGGGGGATCCTTTGAAAGACATGACAAGAGCAAGCCTCAATCTCTTCGTCCGTGGGTACGGGTCGGCTGGCGGCGGGTTCAACGACGTGGGGCACATTTGGGTCGGGTGCTGCAACCGTGAGCGTGGCGGCAGCTTGCCGTCTTGCTGCTATACCTGCCCTGGCCAAGTGAACTACTGAGTTGGCGGCCGCTTTGTTCGCCAGGTCATCCGTCTGAATGGCGAGGGCGTAGGTGATCACGGCCAGCGAGGGTCCCCACAACGCACTTAGGGCCGCCTGAAGAATGAAGACCTCCTGGATGTCTGTCCACACTCGATTCATCTGAATTTGCGGGGGCGGCGTGGTCAATGTGGCAACCACAGGTCGTCCGGGCCCAATGGCCTGGTGGCGGTAGTGTTGTCCGGGTGGACGGCACCCCACTTGGTGTCGAACCTCGCAATCAGGGTCTTTGTCGGGTAGCGTTTGCGACGGTCATGCGTCCCCGCGATCGCGCTGGGTACTCGACGGTCCCCACTTTCTTCACTTTTCGCCGACCTCGTCTTGTTTCCTGTCTCCTGCACGTCGGACAATTCGCCCTTCGGTTACCCCGAGTAGCCACACGCTGGAGCGGACTGCTTCTGCCTCGCCGCCGACAAGAACAGTCCCCACCTTCTGGCCTGCAAACAGCTGCTGGAGCTCAAACTCGCGGACTACAGGGTGCGGCCTCACAGGGTCCTGCCTCTCTGGATGGAGACGTCGAGGGCGCAGGTCCGCCGTCCGCGCAGCGCTTCCCGGGCCCCGGCAGTGCCACCGTGGGTGGCGGGGAGAAGCAGCCGGAGGACGAGCAAGAGTAGGAGATCGGGGCTCAGGAGACGGGGGTCGATGCAAACGTGGTTCAGCCAGGGCACCGGATCCTGCAGGATCAGGCGAAGGCCCCTTCTGGCTGACCCCGGGTTAGCGAGCCGCTCGTGGCCGCGAGGCGGCCGCGCATGTTGGCTGACCCCGGCTTGCGAAGGCCTTGGTTGCAGTTGCTCTTTCCCTGCATTGCAGTTTTTGGTTTCCTGCGGACCCGGGTCTGGTTTGACCTGGGTCAGGAGATCCCCGAGGAGGGAACGGAGCAAGGAGGAAGAGGAGGCGGAGGGGGAGGAGGAGGAGGAGGAGGAGGAGGAGGAGGAGGAGGAGGAGGAGGAGGAGGCCTCTTGGGGCGCGTCTTGGGGGCCTTCCCTGGGCCGCTTGTGCTGCTGCCTCGGGTCCCGAGGCCTCCTCGGGGCGGCCTCGGGCCTCTTGGGTGGGGGCCTGTGGATGTTCCCTCGGGAAGAGTCTTGGCCGTGTGAGATCGTCCCTGGCCCGTCTGCGGCCGTCGGGAGCTGTTCAGGAGGGGAAAACAACATACAGACACAATGAATCGTCGATTCCCGGGAACATCTGGGAACATGTGGGCAGTGGGGGGGAAGACAGAGACCGAGAAAAATGTGGGAAAATATGGGGAATCCTTCTAATTGTGTGTATTTATTTGTGTGTCCCAGGGCCCCTTGAGCTATCTTGAGGTCCTGTCTGGGCCGACTTGGGGCTCTCTTGGGGCGCTTCAGGGCCGTCTTGGGGACCATTTTGGGCGTCTTGGAGGTCTCCTGGGCCGTCTTGGGGCTCTCTTGGGGCCATCTTTGAGGGCCTCTTGGGCCGTCAGGGGGCCATCTCTGAGGCCGTCTTGGGCGCTCTTTAAGCCAATTTGGTGGCCTCTTGGGCCGTCTTGTGCCGCTTGGAAATCGAGAACGAGCAAACGCCAGAATCCTTCAATAACAATACGGAAATACATGCGTACAGCCTCTTCAGGCTTTTCTGGATGTCCTCTTGGAGGCCTCTCGGGCAGTCCTGGAGGCCCCTTGGGCCGTCTTGAGCGATCTTGAGGCCATCTTAAGGGCCTCTTCGGCCAGTCTTGGAGACATCGTGGGGCCATCTTGGGCTCTCTTGGGGCCATCGTAGCCGTCTTGGAGACCATCGTGGCCCTGTCGGAGGGCCTCTCAGGGCCGTCTGGAGCGGGAAGACCGACGACCTGGGAATTTCATTTCATTCCGGTCTTTGCGCGGTTGTCGGCTTTTTCCCTTCATTCCGCGTCGTTGCGCGTCCTTCCAGGTGGCCGGCGGGTTGGCCCGAAGGCCTTTGGGATTTTCTTAACTGACCACAGCTACCGAACACCCAGCACGCCGTGCACCCCTGCGGCAAGCCACAGGGGGCAGCGGATCGAGGACGCCTACGGCGAATCACCGCCGCCCCATGCCTTTCTGGGAAGCGCCTCTGTGACCAAACGTGTGGCCCCAGGACGGCCCAAGCGATCGATCAGACTATGTATTGCCCCAGCCGCTCTGGAAACTCTTCGGGGGACACTTGGAAGAGGGGGATGATCAGGAGGAGGAGGAGGAAGAGGAGGAGGAGGATGAGGAGGAAGAGGAGAAGGAGTAGGAGGAAGAGGAAGAGGACGAGGGGGCATCTTGAGGGCCTCTGGGGGCACTCTTGGGGCCTCCTGGGAGCTTCCTGGGGCCTCTTGGAGGCCTCTTGGGGCCCTCCTTGGGCTTGTTGGGAGACTTTGGGGGCTTCTTCGGGTCCTCTTTGGCGGTCTTCGGGTGTTCCAGGCGCTGGCCTCTCTGGACCGGCTTGGGGCCCTCATGTGGTGCTTTCTGGGCCGTGTTGGAGGCCATCTTGGGCGTCCTGGAGGCCTCTTGGGCCTTCTTGGGGGCTCGCTTGGGACCGTCTTGGGGGCTCTCTTGGGGCCGTCTTGGGGGCCTCTTGGGCCCTTTGGGGCCATCTGAGGCCTCTGGGGGGATCTTGGGGCGATCTTTGGGGGGCTCTTGGGCCGTCTTGTGCCGTCGGAATGCCGACAAGAAGCAAATGCCAACATCCTTGAAACCTATTGGATAATCAATGTGTTTGCCTCGTGAGGCCTTTTCGCAGGCCCTTTCGGAAGCCTCTTGGGCCGTCTTAGAAGCCTTTTGGAGCGTATCGGAGCGTCTTGGGCCATCCTGAAGCCCGCCTGGACCGTTCTGGTTGCTTCTTGAGCGGACTTGGAAGCATCCTTGGGCCATATTGGAGGACCATCTTGGGCGAACTTGGAGGCCATCTTGGACCATCTTGGCCGGCTTGGAGGACCTCAGGGAACACCTTTGCGCGGGAAGACCAGTGGGCAATGCAAAGTCTGGGTGGCTGGAGGCATCGGCCGAAGCCCCAGGGGGAGTTCTTAAATAACCATCAACCACCAAACCTGAGCACATCAGGCATCCCTGTGGCAAGACCACAGGGGACGGTGGCACCTAGTGGCCTTCAGCCCATCCCTCCGCCGTGCCCAGGTCGTAGGTCGGAGGCATCTTGGATACATGTCGGGATCTCTCGGGAGGCCTCTCGGAAGCCTCGTGGAGGCGATTTTGGGGGTGTCTTGGCGCCTCCCGGGGCCTCTTGGGGGCCTCCTGGGGTGGGGCCGCGTTTGGGCCTCTTGGGACGTCTTGGGGGCCTGCTGGCGGGCGGAGGGCGCGACATGTCAGGTCCCTCTTGGGCCGTTTGGGGGGGCTCTTGGATCATCTTGGACTCCCCGTCTGGGGGCACTCGTGGGGGCCTCTCGAGGCTATCTCGGAGGCCTCTTGGGCCGTCTTGGAGCGTGCCCGAAAATGCGAGAACGCTAAAATCTGTTTGAAACCGGGGCCTCTCGAGGCCCTCTCGGTGAGCCTCTTGACGCCTCTTGAAGCTTCTTGGTTGCATCTTGGGCTTTCTGGAAGGCATCGAGCGCAGTCTTGGGGCCCTCTGGGGCCGTCTCGGAGCCCTCTTGGACCCTCTTGGGCGCCTCTCAGGAAACCTTGGGGGTTCTTTTGGTCGTATTGGGGGTGACACCGTCCAGGAAGCCCACGCGAGAAACTCTAGAACCGTCCAAAAACGCTTGGGAAACCAGTGGAACAAGCCCCTAAGAACGTACGAACCCTCTGCCTTTCAGGGTTGTAGGTGCCTTGGGGCACTCCACTCCGTGCTGAGAGCACGATGGGCCTCCCCTCTTTCATCCTGTCTTCTATTTTCAATAGATGAGCGGTTGACATTTTGTGCTGATTCCGTTCACATTTGCGTACACACTTTGGGTGACCCACCGCCAGACAAGTGTGCGCCACGCGGATGCGTATCTTTCCGAAAACAATCACTATCAGCTCGTGCTGCCCATTCTCCTCTCTGCAAGGGTGACGATATGTTTCGCTCGTCCTTGCGCGCGCACGCCCTTGAGTGTCCGACCGTTGACCCGGAAAGTACGCGTCCAGGCTGATGCGTTTCTACCACGGTTCCCCGTCAAGTGTCAGCTCTCAGATATCAGGCCTTCTGTTGGTTCGTGTGTGGATTGTCGACCAGTCGTTGGCCGCCCTTCTTTAGGACATGGGCGAGTAGGAAGGGGGTGGAGATGTGGATAGTTGAAGGGGTAGATGGATGGAGGGAGAGAGGGAGACGGGCAAGGAATGGAAAGTTTGGTGTATTTACCTGTCTCATTTGTACCAGTTGCTTGTCCTTGTTTTAGCTTGGTTTGTTCCCCTTATGCTATGTGCATCCGTCTCGGCTGCTCAGGATTATCGAGCAGGGAAGGACTGGGAGGCGGGCGATGAGGAGCACGAGGTAGAGGAGGAGGAGGAGGAGGAGGAGGAGGAGGAGGAGGAGGACGAGCAGGAGGATTAGGAGTAGGAGGAGGAGGAGGAGGAGGAGGAGGAGGAGGAGGAGGAGTAGGACATGGACGAGGAGAGGGAGGATGACAACGAGGGGGCGCTGCGAGTTCGGCTTGATTGTGGGACCCGCTTCACGGTTCCCTCTCTGGGAACATTCAGCGCCTCGGGCCCGCTGCTCCCCGCTGCATCCCCTCCCTCCCGACTTACAGCGTCGGTTCTCTCTGGAAAATTCAACGCCTCCTCCTCCTCCTCTTCCTCCTCCTTCTCCTCCTCAGCCGTTCTGGCTGGCACGTAGCTTAGGCATGCAAGGAGATGGTGTGCGCGTGTGTGTTGACTTGGTACGCTCGTGCGTGTGTAGGTCGAAGAAGTATAGTGCACGACAGAAGTATGCCATAGCTAGTTGTTTCACTAAGGCTGTGTTCACTAGCGATCGCTTGCAATCCCATGGATATGAGTCTGATGGGAAGTGTCCGTTGTGTGGCGGGCCTGATGGCCTCCATCATAGGTTGTGGTGTTGTCAAGCCCCTGAGGTGGTCGAGGCCAGGCAGAATACGTGTAGTGCGGAGAATCGCTGAGGCTGTCGAGGCGGGGCGCGAAGATCTTTTGTGGAACCGTCTGGTCTTTAAGCATCCGTCGTGCTACCTCCAGCCCCCGACCGACCAGCTGTATCCTACCGTTTTTGGGCAGGACGGCCGCCCCCTTGAGGACCTCTCGGTGCTGGGAGATGTCGTCGACGTCGTCGTTGATGGGTCGTGCACGCGAAGCCCCATCCGTGAGCTCTCGAGGGCGGCCTATGCTGGCGTGTACATGCGGTCGGGGTCCGAGGAGATAGCAGCTAGGTTTCAAGGGCCTGTATGGCCTTCCCTGCCCCAGACCCCTCAGGCTGCAGAGCAGATGGCGATCATTGCGCCAGTTTTCGTCATACGCCAGCCAGTCCAGGTTCACTCTGATTGCCTCGGCGTTGTTCGGATGCACAATCAGAGCCAATCTCAGGTTTTATCGAGTCGCTCGAAGTATGCTGGCCTCAGGCGCGGATTCTTTGAGCTGGAGGGGGCTCCCTTCATCGGGCAAGCTTTTCACACGCCCGCTCATCGGAGCCTTGAGGACATCGAAGCTCTGCCGTCGACGGAGAGACGAATCGGTCTCGCGAATCGAGCGGCGGACCTGTATGCTAAGAATGCTGTGCTACTCCATGCTCGGGATAGTCAGGGGGACCTCGAAGAGCTTGATCGGATGATAGACAGGGCTCGAGCTGCGGCGAGAGTCGTGGGAGCGGTCTTGCCCCTCTTCCCTGTCGCTCAGTTCCCTGATCGGCCCAAGGTTCCCCGACCCCGAGAGATAGGAGCCCATCGCTGGCACGCCTGGACGGCGGTCCCAGCCACTCAGGGTAGCTTCATCTGTCACGATTGCCAAGCCAGAGCAGTCAACACGTGTGCGGCCAGGCTGGAGATGAGGGGTTGCCCTGGGAAGCGTACGAATTTTCAGTTTTTGAGGGACCGTGAGAGGATGGGCCATTCTCTGGTGTTCACTCGTCTGTCGAGCGGTCCCTCCCTGGTCTTCTGTCGTCGGTGTGGGGCTTATAGTACTGAACGCCTCAGTCGACGACCCGAGAACGAATGTCCAGGCCGTCTGGTTTCCTCTGCCACGCGTTGTCGTCTTGGCAGAATGTTGAGAGGACTCCACCCCCAGTCCGATCGTGCGCCAGGGGTGGTCCTCCATATCCTTTCAGATGTGGATCGCCTGCGGCTGCTGCAGACGCAGCAACCTCGGCGACGTGCAGTGCTCCTCCCCGCTCAGCAGAGCGACCTCATCCCAGCACTGGAGGCCATGCGGCGCCGCGTCGCGGCCAGGGAGCTGGGCGAGGAAGGAGGAGGTTTTCGGAGCTCGATTTTGTTGGGGCCTCCTGGTGGGCCGCGGGGCCCTCCTTCTGGGCCCGCGGCCCAAGTGGCCCCCTCCTTGGGGCCTCGTGGTCAGGCCCAGGAGGCGCCGCCCCCAGGGCCCGCCCTCGATGCTGAGGAAGAGGCTGCCTCCTTCCTCTTCCGTTAAACAAACGTTTGTTCTACCCCTCGGGGGGGGGGGGGGAACAAAAAAGAATCTGGCTCAGGTCATTCCTGAGCTTGGCGAGGCAAACTTCAGAACGGCCTGCCTCGTCGGGCCAAAGTTTCCGCGCTGCGCTTTCATCTTTCATCGTCCCTCAGCATCCAGCCGCATGACTGGGGATGGTTCCATGCTCAGAGGTGCTCGACTACCTCTGTGGTCCTGCTCGCAGTGCTCCCGCACTGCGAATTGGGCTTGCCGTATCAAGTGTCTTTGCGGTGTTGCTGCTCCTGTGCGTGTGGTTCAGGCAGCTCGCAAAAGTGAGAAAGAGTGGGGATCGCGGCCTACCCCATCCACACCTCGGGCGCCGAAGGGAAGGTGGGCTGATGGCGCCCCGTCGACCCCCGACCTGGTCGCCACCATCACCGCGGCGCTCGAGAAGAAGTTCGATCATAAGTTTAAGTTTTTCAAGGACTCGAAGGCTGGACAGGCTGCTGGCCAGGCTCCTCCGCCTACTGATGGCGACGCTGCTGCTAGTGATGATGAACAATCGCAGCGTGGAGCGCGCATCGAGCCCCTTGAGAAGGCACTCCGACAGCTCGGCGACACCGCCGACGACGATCCAGCTAAGCAGCGCCTTGAGTCTCAACTCCGAGATGCTCGCAAGGCACAGAGAGATTCCAAACCCGTGTTGCGGCAGCATGCCAATGTGGCCTTCCGCTTGCAGACTGCGCAGCAGAAGCAGACCAAGGCTGGCGAGGCCGTCGTTGCCCAGCAGAAGCCCATTGAAAAAGCCCGACGTACGCTTCATGAGCTTCAGGGGAAGGAGGAGGCCACCAAGCGTGAGGTGGCGGCTTTGCAGGAGGAGCTGCGTCGCACGATGCCGCCCGATGCAGCACGGCCAATTCCCGAGGTCTATTTCGAGCTGTCCCCAGAGATCCTGGAGGCAGAGGACAATGCTGATGTTAAAGAGCTCATGTCCAACCATATCTTTGCCAAGTGCCAGCAGTTGTTCAAGGCTTCGGCCCCTCCTACCGCTTCGTCGGATCCTGGCCCTGCGGCGGGGGCAGCAGCAGGACAGCAAGGAGCTGAAGACGCTGCTGATGGAGCTGCCGATTCAGATGCATCAATGCCTCAGGCGACAGAGTATGAAGGTTTATCATCTGAGGAGGTCGATGACCTGCTCAAGCAAGTCGGCGACAAGCGGGCGTCCGAGCAGCATTTGGAGGCCATGGGCATCAAGCGAGCGAGGACAGCAGCGTCTTCCTGACGCCCCCTTGCCCAGTGGCCTTCCTGTGTCTGCTTCAGGACATGTCGTTTCTCAGCATAAGGGGCATCGACAGCAGGCTGAAGCTACAGGGCCACAATTCTTCGAAAGTTTCAACGGTAATTGCAGGGCCACTCTACTTGAACGTTTGCGTAGTAGCGACTCTCTGATTGTGTGTGCGCAGGAGATTGGTACAGGACCCGACGCTGTTCCAGATATTCAGCGTGTTGCTCGTTTGATAGGCTATCGAATGTTATGCAGTCCTTCGCGATGTTGTGCACGCGGTTCTCACTCAGCTGGGGCGGCTATCTTTGTGCAGCGGCATCTTGGGCCCAGATGGAATCCCACTGGTGGTGAGCTGGTCAAAGGGCGTCTCTTTTCTGCAGTTGTGGACATCCCAGCCTGGCCTCCACTAGTGGTATATTCAGCTTGCTTTCGCGACAGTGTCGGCCTCAAGGAGGCCAACATGAACCTGCTGTCTGTGCTTGGTGGCTCGATCTCTCGCTCAACTGGTTCCTTCTTGGCACGTGCTGACTGGAATGTTGAGCCGTCTACCATCGATCAGAGTGGGTTCACTCGTAAGGCAGGTTTGACCACACTTGCTCCAGTTCGCAGTACAAGCATCATGTCATCATCGTCCAGTACCCTTGACTTCTTCTTGGCATATCATGATATTGTTCGTGCAACCGGCAAGGTTCGTGCCTTTTCTCAGTGGCGTGGAGGGCCGCATAAGGCAGTCCGTCTGCATCTCCGACCTGATGCAGTCTCGCTAAGGCAAGTGGTTTTCTGTGCACATACCCGCTTTCCTGTGCTACTCCCTTTCGGTCCTCGTCCTGAGCCCCGCAGCTATGTAGCAGCGAGGCAGATGGCGGATGAGGCTGCATTCTCGGCGGAGTTCGATCCAGTTCCGAAGGCATGGACACGACTCAACCAAGCTTGGACAGTTTTCTTACGGGATGCCGAGTTGGAGATTGCTGCAGCTCTAGATTTCCCGATAAAGAAGTTGACGCGCCACCACTACCTCACCCGCAGATGGGTTCCTGTCTTGGGCCGCAAAGATCATGCCCAAGATCCTGTTCTTGTGGCACGCGGCTGGCAGTGGCTATATCGAGTTTGGCATGAGTTTGAGATGATGGCTAAGAGTAGCAAGGAGCTTAACAATGATCCAGCGGCAACTTCACTCAAACAAACGGACCTTGTTGATAATTACCCTGGCGAAGGTCTTGATGTAAGCCTGGACTCACAGGCGTCGGCACTCCGCAGACTCATTCGAGATTACCCC